GCCGCCTGCGCGTTTGGCTGCCGGGGCGGAAGCAGGTTCCCCGCGTGCAGGCGGGCAGCCAGCCGTACTTAACCAGCAGGAGAAAATCCCTTTTCCCTCGAGGAGTCTGCATACAGGAGTTACGTAGCGGGTTCTGAGGGAGGGGCGAGGGGAGAGAAGATTAAGAATTGATTTTTGTCTACGCGTTAAGACGACTTGATGGGAGCGCAGTTCAAAGGCGGCTGAGAATGGTGCCGCGGTTCGTCTTCAGCTGAGGGTCACGTTCCTCCGGGAGGTTGGTCAGCAAAAGAGGTGTTGACGGTGGAGATGTTCCTCTCAACATCTGACAGGCACGCCTGACACGGGTGGGGGTTGGTAGGTTTGGTGAAATCTGGAGGCACAAATATGGTCTAAAAATTTTGTGAAAGTGCGCCTGAAAATGTTTGCTTTACAACATGGAGACAGACTAATACTTCATTGGCAAGGTACTGTTGAGCAGAAGAAAGAAGAATTAAGTTTTGTGAAGGGATTAGGGTATTAACCCAGGACATGATGTACGAGTCTTTCTCTGTTCCGCTTCGTATTTTCCCTGCCACCTGTTTTTGAGCCTTTTCTTTTTGGCTTGTCCTCCCCTCTGAAATCCCGCTGTCCTGGGGCGCGCTTGGTGTGTCGGGCCGGGCCGGTGGTCGGCTGTTAAAGCTGACGGAGCTGTGATGACGGGGTGCAGAGGGGGGGCTGGCCGCTCGCCCGCCGGGCTGCCGTACCCTGCCTAGAGCGGCGTCGGTGACAAGTCAGCAGCAGACGCCGTAGGTCAGTAAAAATAGGCAAGAGCGTCAGCTATGTAGAAATACATCTTCTTCCCTCAACTGTGCGCAATCAAGGCAAGTTTGGAACAAGACCCGTTAACAAGCTCTTCTGTTTCCTTCCTAGAATTACGACGACAGCTGCTTGCATGATGGACCTACGGAGATATCCGCTGGATGAGCAGAACTGCACGCTGGAGATTGAGAGCTGTAAGTACTTCTGCAAATCCTCCTCAGTCTGCGGGCAACTGCTGCGGAGGTTTTATTTCTGTCTTTTTTTAAGCACGCTACTAAACTGGTCGTCTTTCTGTCTGATGACGTTTAGATCCTTGTAAACACATGCAAAAAAAATAGCTTTCCAGATGGATTAGTAATTTGTGGCGCAAGGATTAGCAAAAGTTATTCTGTGTTTTGATGGACAATTTACAGCTTAAAAGTCTCATTCAGATGCCTTGTTGGAGTTCATGCGAGGAGCATGAGGATTATTATCGGTTCTTTATCCTCCTTCCCTGCTGAA